CCCAGGATTTTCCTTTGCTGCTCTCCTGGGTTGAAACCTGTTTCTTGGATGCCATAGCTTCCTCTTTTTTATCTTTGGTTTTAGTAGATGACATCCTCTGAGAATATCTAAGAAAGGGTGCATAGATTTTTTTTTTGGTCTACATATCTGAACATGCCTTTATTCTATCCTCATAATTGATAGTTTGATATAGAATTCTAAATTTAAAATCCATTTTTCCTCAGAAATTTGAAGACAATTGGCATTGCTCTTAAGAAATCTGTTATCAATTTAACTTATTTCTTTGTATGTGATCTTTTTCTCTCTGAAATTTCATTTGTTTGTTTGTTTGGAGATAGAGTCTCACCCTGTTGCCCAGGTTGAAATGCAGTGGCATGATCTGAGCTCACTGTAACCTCTGCCTCTCGGATTCAAGCGATTCTCATGCCACAGCCTCCCCAGTAGCTAGGATTATAGGCGCACACCACCATGTCCAGCTAATTTTTGTATTTTTAGTACAGATGGGGTTTCACCATGTTGGCAAGGCTGGTCTCAAATTCCTGACCTCAAGTAGTCTGCCTGCCTCAACATCCCCAAGTGCTGGGATTACAGGCGTGAGCCACTGCACCCGGCCTGGAAGTTCTTAAAGTTCTTAGTGTCTTCTTTTTATTTGTTGTATTCTAAAATTTTGTCCCAATTATTGAAATATTTTGATGTGGGAACTTTTTACCCCTTTCTATGCCTTTTTTTTTTTTTTTTTTTTTTTTTTTAAATAGAGACAGGGTCTCACTGTATTGTTCAGGCTGGTCTCAAACTCCTGGGCTCAAGTGATTCTCCCACCTCAGCCTCCTAAAATGCTGAGATTACAGGCATGACCCACTGTGCCTAGACCATCTCAGTGGTCTTTTTAATCTGGGCATATATCTTTTATATATCCGGGGAATATCTTGCATTTTTTCCTTTTATAATTGTTTTCCCTCTGTATTACCTGTTCTTTCTTTTGTGAACTCCTAATAAATAGCTATTGAACTTTCAAGGATTGATGTTCTAAGTCTCTTTTTTTTCTTTCCTTGTTCTGCCTCACTCTAGTCTACTTTGTGAGATATTTTCTCAACTTTTTCTTTCTGTCCTTTTATTGACTTCTTTATTTCTACATTTACATTTATGATTTCCAAGAGTTCTTTGTTTTATCCCCTTTTCATATCATATTTTATGAATTAACTTCTCAGCTTTTCTGAAGATATTTTTTTCTTTTTTGTATGATAATTGAAATGTAATACACTGCAAATAAGCATATAATTTGTTGAGTCTAGGCATATGTATGCACTTTGTGAAATTATTGCTCTTAAGATAATAAGCAGATTGGACTAAAAAACTTCCTTTGTTTGTACACCTTTGTAATTCCTCCCTTCTGCCTTTCTCTGCCTCCTCTAATCCCCAGGCAAGACTGACCACTGATCTAGTGTCTACTGCAGATTAGTTTGCATTTTCTGAAGTTTTATATGATGGAATCATATACTATCTACTCTTTCGAGTCTGGCTTCTTTGTCTCAACATAGTTATTTTGAAATTCATGTTGCATGTATCAAGTTTATTTCTTTTTATTGCTGAGTAGTATTCCATTATGTAGATTTATCCCATTCATTGTTTACCCATTCATTTAGATGGGCATTTGGCTTATGTTCAGTTTCTGGCTATTAGAGATAAAGCTGTTAGGAACATTCATGTATAAATCTTTGTATGGATATGCTTTTATTTTTCTTAAGTAAATATCTAGAGTAAAATGACTGGGTCATATGGTAGGTGTGTTTAAGACACTGCCAGACTGTTTTCCAAGGTAGTTGTACATTTTTTATTTCTATTAGCAGTTGTATGAATTCTGGTTGCTCCCAGCCTTACCAACACTTGGGTATGGTCAGTATTTTTAATTTTTTCCCCAACTTTTTAATTGTAAAATACATATAATATACATACAACCATCTTTTTTTAACCTTTCTTTAAGAAAGAAAAAAAATTTTTGGCTGGGCGTGGCGACTCATGCCTATAATCCCAGCACTTTGGGAGGCCAGGGCAGGCAGATCACCTGAGGTCAGGAGTTGAATACCAACCTGGCCAATGTGGTGAAACCCCATCTTTACTAAAAATATAAAAATTAGCCAGGTGTGGTGGCGGGTACCTGCAATCCTAGCAACTTAGGAGGCTGAGGCAGGAGAATCACTTAAACCCAGGGGGCAGAGGTTGCAGTGAGCCAAAATCATACCATTGTACTCCAGCCTGGGTGACAAGAGCAAAACTCCATCTCAAAACAAAAAAAAGCTTTAAAAGTGTACAGTTTGGTGGTATTAAGTATATTCATATTGTTGTACAGCCATCACCACTACCCATTTCAATAATGTTTTGGTCTTACACATCTGAAGCTTTTATTTTTTTAGAGATGGAAGTCTTGCTATATTATGCAGGCTAGACTCAAACTCCTAGCCTTAAGCAATCCTTCTTCTCAGCCTCCCGAGTGTCCGAAACTACAGGCGCGCTTTGCTACACCCAGTACAAATCTGAAGCTCTATACCCGTTAAACAATAACTCCCATTCCACCCTCTCAGAGCCCCTGACAACCACCATTCCACTTTGTGTTTATGAATTTGACTACTCTAGGTACCAGCTATAAGTGGAATCTGACAAAGTAGTATTTGTCTTTTTGTGACTGGCTTATTTCATTCAGCGTAAGGTCCTCAAGGATCACTTACGTTGTAGCATGTGTCAGAATCTCCTTCCTTTTTAAGACTTAATAATATTCTAGTGTATGGATACCACATTTTGATTATCCATTTGTACATCAATGGACACTTGATTTGCTTCCACCTTTTATCTGTTGTGAATAATGCTGCTATATGTATGCATCTACAAATATGTTTTTGAGACCATGCTTGCAATTCTTACGTACTGAGAAGAGGAATTGATAGATCATATGGTGATTCTATTTTTAACTTTTTTTTTTTTTTTTTGACATGGAGTCTAGCTCTGTCACCCAGGGAGTGCAGTGGCACAACCATAGTGCACTACAGCCTCAAACTCCTGGCATGAGTCTCCTGAATAAGGTTGAGCTATAGGTTCACACTACCATGCCTGGCTGATTTTAGTTTTTATTTTTAGAGACAGAGTCTGACTGTGTTGCTCAGGCTGGTTATGAACTCCTGGGCTCAAACTATCCTCCCACCTCAGCCTCTTGAATAGCTGGAATTATAGGTGCATACAGCTGCACCCAGACTGTTTTCTGTCTTTTACTTATTTATTTGTTTTTGAGACAGGGTCTCACTGTGTCACCGAGGTTGGAATACAGTGGCATGATATTGGTTCACTGCAATTTCTGCCTCCCAGGCTCAAGCAATCTTCCCACCTCAGCCTCCCAAGTAGCTGGGACTATAGACTTACCACCACACCTGACTAATTTTTAGGGCTTTTTTGTTTTTGAGATGGAGTCTTGCTCCGTCACCCAGGCTGGAGTGCAACAGTGCAATCTCAGCTCACTGCAACCTCTGCCTCCCGGGTTTAAGTGATTCTTCTGTCTCAGCCTCCTGAATAGCTAGGGTTATAGGTGTGCATCCACCATGCCCAGCAAATTTTTTTATTTTTAGTAGAGATGGGGTTTCACCATGTTGGCCAGGCTGGTCTTGAACTCCTGACCTGAAGTGATCCGCCCACCTCAGCCTCCCAAAGCACTGGGATTACAGACTTGAGCCACCATGCCTGGCCTAATTTTTTGTATTTTTGGTAGAGACCGTGTTTTACCATGCCACCACAGCTGGACCCCTGTTTTCTGTTGGTTTATTATTTTTATTTATTTATTTATTTATTTATTTATTTTTGAGATGGGATTTTGCTCTTATTGCCCAGGCTGGAGTACAATGGCACTATCTCAGCTCAGTGTAACCTCCACCCCCCCGGGTTCAAGCAATTCTCCTGCCTCAGCCTCCTGAGTAGCTGGGATTACACGCATGTACCACCACACCCGACTAATTTTGTATTTTCAGTAGAGATGGGGGTTTCTCCATGTTGGTCAGGCTGGTCTTCAACTCCCGACCTCAGGTGATCCACTCACCTCGGCCTCCCTAAGTGCTGGGATTACAGGCCTGAACCATGCCCAGCCTTTTTTTGTTTTTGTTTTTTGTTTGAGACAAAGTCTCGTTCTGTAGCCCAGGCTGGAATGCAGTGGTGCAATTTTGGCTCATTGCCACCTCCATCTCCTGGGTACAAGCAATTCTTCTGCTTTAGCCTCCTAAGTAGCTGGGACTACAGATGTGTGCCACTATGCCTGGCTAATTTTTGTATATTTAGTAGAGATGGGGTTTCACCATATTGGTCAGGCAGGTCTCAAACTCCTGACTTCATGATCTGCCTGCCTCGGCCTCCCAAAGTGCTGGGATTACAGGCATGAGTCACCTTGCCCAGCCTATTTTCTGTTTTTTAATGGGGGTCATCCTAATGGTGTAAAGTGGTCAGTTTTTATAATTTTAGACATTCTAATATGTGTGTAGTGATAGCTTGTAGTTTTCATTTGCATTTCCCTAATGAGTAATAATATTGAGCATCTTTTCATGTACTTGTTTGCCATTTGTATATCTTCTTTGGTGAAGTATTTTTTGCTCATTTAAAAAATTGGATTATTTTATTATTATTGAGTTTTGAGAGTTCTTTAAATACATATTCCAAATGCAGGTTTCTTTGCCAGATAAGTAATTTGCAAATATTTTCTCCCAGTATATTTTTTGTCTTTTCATTACCATGAGTGTCTTTTAAAGAAAAGATACTCTTATTTTGATGAAGTAAATTTGTTTATTTTTATTTATTTATTTTTCTTGGTAGTCACTGGTTATAGCAGATGAAGTAAGTTTAATCAGGTTTTTAAAATTTTTACGGATTATGCTTTCCTATGGTATCTAAGAAATCTTTTCCTAAAAGAGAGGCCACAAAAATTTTCTCCTATATTTTCTTCTAGAAGGTTTTTTGTTTTTTTTTTTTAATTCTGTCTCCATAGACACTGCCAAAAATTGCCAACACCAACCCTATTTCAAGTCGTCATGGTGGGGTATTGGGAAAAGTTTTCAATTAGCAATAATCGAGCCTTGGATAAATCTCATTGGCTGTGATACTGCCACTGTGCAAAGCTTCTAGAAGTTTTATAGCTCTAGGGGTTACATTCCTTTTAAAATTCATTCTGTATGTGGTGCAGGATATGAATTAAAGCTTGTAATTGTAACCAAAAAAATGGTTTTATAAGGGATTAAAAAAAAAAAAAAGCTTGTAATTGCAGAACTTCGAGGCTGAGGTGGGAAGATTGCTTGAGCCCAAGAGTTCGAGACCAGCCTGGGCAATGTGGTGAAGCCCTGACTCTACCAAAAAAAAAAAAAAAAAAGTTAGCCAGGCATGGTGACACACACTTGTAGTCCTAGCTACTTGGAAGGCTGAGGTAGGAGGGATCACTTGAGCCCAGGAGAGGGAGGTTGCAGTGAGCTGAGATCCCACCACTATACTCCAACCTGGGTGACAGTGTAAAACTTTGTCTCAAAAAGAAAAAAAGGTAGGAACATAAGGCTTATTTTCTTGGCACATGGATATTCAGTTGGTTCTTTACCATTTACTGAAGAGACTGCATTCTGCATTGAATTGTCTTTGTACCTTTGTCAAAAATCAGTTGTCTAGAAAAATCAGCTTTCCAGAAAAAAAAAGGCTAATGTGTTCCACTAATGTTCCTATTTTTTTGTTGTGTTGGCTTTTGTAGATTGTTTGCATTTCCATAGACATTTTAGAATTAGGATATCAATTTCTTTAAAAAGGCCTGCTAGGATTTTGATTGGGATTGGATTTTTATGGGGATTGTATTGAATCTATTTAAATAAATAAAACTGAGGGAGAAATAATATTTATTTTTTTGAGATGGAATCTCGCTTTGTTGCCTAAGCTATTGTGCAGTGGCACAATCTCAGCTCACTGTAACCTCTGCCTCCGATTCAAGCTATTCTCTTGCCTTAGTCTCCCAAGTAGCTGGGATTACAAGCACCCGTCACTACACTCAGCTAATTTTTGTATTTTTAATATAGATGGGGTTTCACCATGTTGGCTAGGCTGTTCTGGAACTCGTAACCTCAAGTGATCAGACCCCCTCGGCCTCCCAAAGTACTGGGATTACAGGTGTGAACCACTGTGCCTGGCTTGAGCCACCTGACTGGGCTGAGAATTAATGTTTTATTACTGAGTTTTTTGATCAAAATCATCTTTAATTTCCTTCAGCAATGTTTTGTAGCTTTTGGACAGTCCTGCACATCTTTTATCCGATTTATCCCTGAGTGTTTCAAATTGTGATGCTTTTGTAAAATGATGTATTTTTTTAAATTTCAATATCTGTTTATTGCTATTATATAAAAATCTAATTGATTTTTGTATCTTGATCTTATATTCTATAATCTTCCTAAATTATTTTATTAGTTTTGGTAACTTTTTAATAGATTTCATCAGGTTTTTTCTGTAGGTTTTCGTATTGTCAGCAAATGCATTTTTACTTCTTTCTGACTTGGATCCCTTTTATTTGTGTTTCTTGTGCTGTCTAGGACCTCCATTTAAGTACAAATAATGAGCTGTATTCTGTTGTTGATTTTTTTCTTTTTTTTTTTGAGATTGAGTCTCACTCTGTTGCCCATGCTGGAGTGCAATAGCTCAATCTCAACTCATTGCAATCTCTGCCTCTCAGGTTCAAGCAATTCTCCTGCTTCAGCCTCCTGAATAACTGGGACTACAGTTGCCAACCACCATGCCTGGCTAATTTTTGTATTTTTGGTAGAGATGAGGTTTCACCATGTTGGCTAGGCTGGCCTCGAACTCCTGACCTCAGGTGATCCGGCCTCCTCAGCCTCCCAAAGTGCTGGGATTACAGGTGTGAGCCACTGTGCCTGGCCAATTTTTTGTATTTTTAGTAGAGGTGGGGTTTTGCCATGTTAGCCAGGCTGGTCTCAAACTTCTGGCCTCAAGTGATCTGCCTACTTCTGCCTCCCAAAGTGGTAGGGTTACAGGTGTGAACTATTGTGCCTGGCCGTTACTGATTTTTGAAAAACATTTAGAGCGGGGCACAGTGGCTCATATCTGTAATCCCAGTGGTTTGGGAGGCCATTGTGGGAGGATCATTTGTGCCCAGGAGTTTGGGACCAGCCTGGGTGACAGAGCAAACCCTGTTTTATTACTGAATTTTTTTGAGATAGGGTGTTGTTCTCCGTCTCTCAGGCTAGAGTGCAGTGGTGCCATCTCGGCTCAATGCAGCCTTGACTTCCTCAGCTCAAGCAATCCTCCCTCCTACCTCAGCCTCCAGAGTGGCTGGGACTATAGGCATGTGCCACCATGCCTAGCTAATTTTAAAATTTTTTGTAAAAATAGTCTCCAGCCTTGGCCTCCCAAAGTACTGGGATTATGGACATTAGCCACCATGCCCAGACTGTTTTCTGATTTCTATTCCAATACATATGCATATATTTTTTTTCCTTTCTGCCCACTTTGGGTTTCATTTGCTCTTTTTCTAGTTTCTTTAGATGATTGCTACTTATGATCATTTGAGACTTCTGTATGTTTACATATATGGTTTTTTTTCATTGTGGTGGCACATACTTGTAGTCCCAGCTACTTGGGAGGCTGAGGTGGGAGGATCCCTAGAGCCCAGGAGGTTGAGTGAACCAATGTCGCATCATGGCACTCCAGTCTAGGAGTGAGGCCCTGTCTCAAAAAAAAAAGGCGAAATAGAGATGATGTCTCACTGTGTTACCCAGGTTAGTGTCAAACTGTTGGCCTCTCAAAGTGCCATGATTGTTGGGCATAAGTCACTGTGCCTGGCCTTGTTTTCTAGCTGTTTTTTTTTTTTTTTCTGAGACAGATTTCTCTCTTGTTGCCCAGGCTGGAGTGCAATGGTGTGATCTTGGCTCACCACAACCTCTGCCTCCCAGGTTCAAGCGATTCTTCTGCCTCAGCCTCCCAAACAGCTGAGATTACAGAGTTGCACCACCATGCCTGGCTAATTTTGTATTTTTAGTAGAGATAGGGTTTCTTTTTTTTTTTTTTTTTTGAGACGGAGTTTCGCTGTTGTTACCCAGACTGGAGTGCAATGGCAAGATCACAGCTCACCGCAACCTCTACCTCCTGGGTTCAAGCAATTCTCCTGCCTCAACCTCCTGAGTAGCTGGGATTACAGGCACGCACCACCACGCCCAGCTAATTTTTGTATTTTTAGTAGAGACGGGGTTTCACCATGTTGACCAGGATGGTCTCGATCTCTTGACCTCGTGATCCACCCGCCTCAGCCTCCCAAAGTGCTGGGATTATAGGCGTGAGCCACGACGCCAGGCCAAGATAGGGTTTCTTCATGCTGGTCAGGTTGGTCTCAAACTCTTGGCCTCAGGTGATCTGCCTGCCTCAGCCTCCCAAAGTGCATAAGCCACTGCACCTGGCCTGTTTTCTGACTTTTTAATGTGGAAGATCAGATCACTGATTTCTATTTTCTCTAAGCATTTAAAGCCATGGCTTCCCTTAAGGCATTGCTAGCTGCATTCCACACATTTTGATACTCTTGTCACCCAGGGTGTAGGGCAATGGCATGGTCTCTGCTCACTGCAACCTCCGCTTCCTGGGTTCAAGTGATTCTCCTGCCTCAGCCTCCTGAGTAGCTGGGATTACAGGCACGGGCCACCATGCCCAGCTAATTTTTTGTATTTTTAGTAGAGATGGGGTTTCAACATGTTGACCAGGATGGTCTCGATCTCTTGACCTTGTGATCCACCTGCCTCAGCCTTTCAAAGTGCTGGGATTACAGGCTTGAGCCACCGCGCCCAGCCCATCCTTGTAGTACATTTTATCTTTTCTTCCTTCTTCATTCCCTCCCCTGTATTAAGTATTTTACATTGCATGAAATAGAAACATTATAATTGCCTTTAAGTAACTGAGTTTAAGATTTACAGCAAAAGTTGAAGATTAGATGAGACTGTTTTCACCAGGCCTCCTGGTGTAGAGAATCAACCATAGAGCCGAACCACATGCTCCATCAGAAACGTGTGCTTCTGGCCAGGCATGGCTCATGCCTGTCATGAGTGCTTTGGGAGGCCGAGGCGGGTGAATCACTAGGTCAGCCTGGCCAATATGGTGAAACCCTGTCTCTACTAAAAATCCAAAAATTAGCCAGTTGTGGTGGCAGGTGCCTGTAATCCCAGCTACTCGGGAGGCTGAGGCAGGAGAATCACTTGAAACGAAGGCAGAGGTTGCAGTGAGCCGAGATCGCGCCACTGCACTCCTGGGCAACAGTGAGACTCCCATCTCAAAACAAAACAACAACAACAAAAAAGCTGTCAGATTGGCACAGCAGGTACTCAGCATTATCCATTCTCCTCCATTATGATATAAAAATTGATTCATTTTAAACTTACTTACTGTTAATAAACTGGATGTTTCCCCAAAACCAGTCACCTTCATATTTTTAGATTTAGATGAATTGTTGACCTCATTCCTGAAATATTGGGGTTTTTTCCCTTCTTAATTTCATTCTTAGTCAAAAAACAAAGGACAATCTTTACCACCTTTTAGCCACAACTTAAAATAAATCCATGGTACTGATTGTTGGTCCAAGAAAGCCCATCTGTTAGAGACTATGAAGAGAAGAGAAAATTCAAATGTTCCCATTCGTGTTAGCATCTCTAAATTTGGTAGAAGATGAGGTTGAAACTCTAAGCTAAAATAAGGTTATTGGATTATTAGCCCCACCTGGGTTTGAATCCTGGCTTTTCTCATTTACTATATGATGAGTATCTTTTCTTTCTTCTTTTTTTTTTTTTTTGAGACAGTATTTTGCTCTGTCACCCAGGTTGGAGTGCAGTGGCATGATCATGGCTCACTGCAACCTCAACCTCCTGGGATCAGGTCATCCTCCCATCTCAACCCCCCGGAATAGGTGGGACTACAAGTGTGAACTGTCACACATGGGTACTTTTTGTAGAGATGGGGTTTCACCATGTCACCCAAACTGGTCTTGAACTCCTATGCTCAAGCCATCTGCCTTGCCTCGGCCCCCGGAAGTGCTGGGGATGAGTATCTTTCTAAGCTTCAGTTTACTTGTGAATAAAATGGAGGTTGTAGAGTTTGCCA